GGAATGGCAGCCTAGGGATGATGTGCTTTAAACAGGCAACCCTTGAGCAACACGGGAATTAGAGGCACAGTTGCAAATCCACATATAACTTACAAGCTAAAGGAAAAATACTTTTCCCAAATAACTTGTCCCAAATCTTTAAAAGTTTTTCTAATCTATTTACTGAAAATAATCCACACAGGTGAACCTGCACAGTGCAAATCCATGTTGTTCAAGAGTCGACTGTATACCGTTTTAGTGAATGAGAATTTTTAGTGTGTTGGGTTTCTACATTTGTGTAACTTCCTCAGATTCCTCAGGACATAATACCCCGGCTGTTTACCACTCCGATTTGATGGGGTAGGGTAGCAAAAGCAAGGCCCAGTAGCATATACAAATTTCTTCTGATAATATATGCAAAGCAACCAAAGATCAATTCGCACAGTTGAGAGTGCAACTTCAAGCTTTAAAGGTTTAATTAAGGCCCAGGATTTTGCTCTCATCCGTCACAGTGTGTGAATGACTAGAATGAAATGGGCTGAACTGGTTGTACTTCCTTAGTGAGAATTCATTACGAGCTCATAGACTGAAAGGCAATGTTATTTCTCTGTAGTCCTAAATGGATTAATGGGGTAGTCTACAGGAAATGGGAATCAATTAAATTTCTTTACAGACTGAAACTGGAGTTAGGAGTGATACAGCATGTGAGCTCAGTAGTGTGCATTCATGATAATGCTGCCAGACTGTAAGCAATTTGCCAAGCACATTCAAGGGAAATGGAAGGCACTCACCAGCTCGCCAGGCCAGTCCTACAAACAAAGCAAGAAGTCAAATAGATGAAGCTCTTTGGCATAGCCCAAAAATAGGGAGGGAAGGGTGGAGGTGGGTAATTCATTAAATAAATCCCAGGTTTGACATGAAATGTGTTTCTTCCTCCTGGCCCCCTGCCTACCTCCTCTGAAAACATTGATACCAAATATTTGGAATACATTCTGTACTTCTGCATAAAAGTGCAGAAGTTGTTAGGACATAGGCTACAGGGAAAATCAGAAGCAGAGGCAGCAGAGAAAGCTCTCTGTCCCTTTGCCCATCTCTTCTCTACAGGGGGGCTGGGAGTACCAGGCAAAGTGGTGAAGTGAGAATATTTGAATAATAGCCAGTGTATACTAAGTGGTTTTTACATCTTGGGACTATTGTGTTTTGAAAGTTGCTACAGTTTTAACTAATTTATAGGAAATGGTTTGTTTGAACTTGGACACAAATTAATGAATTAGGCATCATTACAGTTTCCTTGTTAGGAGTGGGGAAACTAAAGCACACTCAGTAGCGATTGATGAAACCAGGATTAGCCCCACAGAGCTCCCAGTGATCGTGCATACAACCTCAATGATTCGAGCATTCAGGTAACAACACCCTCTCTATGAGCTGTAAAACACTATACTTCTATGTTGAAGATACTTGGCAGTAGAGCCTCATAGATTCATAGAGAAGGACTGTAAAGGGAGACTTGATTTTAGTCCTTGAGTGCCAGAAAAAGAATCTGTAGATTTGCATAACTTGGTCGTGGTTAGGTTTGCAGTACGTTTTTCATTGAAGTGGTTAGGTAGTTTGATTTATATTTAAACTATCCTGATGCTATTTCATTACTGCTCTTCACTATTCAGTATGTTGGCCTGGTGGGAGTACACCGTTTAGGTTTTATAACATCCCTGCCCTTAAGAAACTTCTAACTTACCGAGACTGTCGAGAAGATCAGAGAGATTAATTCAAAGTTTTCTGAGATGCCAGAGAAAAGTAAAAGGGGGCTCAGAACAGTAAAGCTAATGGTCTGAAGCTACACAGCCAGTGAGTTTTGGTGCCTGGGCTAAAACCCAGTTTATCCTTTAGGATTTCCTATAGATACAAACTTACGCAAGTCATTTTGCAGACAGCATACCTTATGCAAGGGCAGTGACTTACAGAAAACTATTATGTATTCAAAGCTCCAAATTCAAATCATTTGCTTAGTGTAACTTGCTCTAAAGAAAGCCCAGTGTTTTTCAGAGGTCTTCTGTATTTCAGTTATAAAGGTGTTATTTTCTCAGTATGTTAGGTTGAAGGAATTGAGATGATGAGTTTCAAACTTGATTGTCAGCACCTCAAATTGTAGAGTTGCAAGAAAGTTTGTATTTGCAGGTTTGCTGCATGCCAGTAGCTTCAGTGAGAGGACGGTGTGCAGCCAGCTTGTCTCTAGGAAAGTTTTTTTTGTGCCAGACTCTGGGTTTCCAGGAACCTCTGCCCTCAGGGATGTTACTAGAAATTTGTCTGCTGGTAAAGACATGGCGCTATGCTTTCTTTCTCAATGCAGACAGACTGGTAGGGAAATTATATGTAAACAGAATTGACTTCATCTAGACTTGGTTATTATGGGTTTTCTGAACATTCTTAGAGTCCTGTTTAAATAGATGCTCAGGTACAAGTAGATTTTGATCTGTTTGCACAGAGGCCATCCCATGGAAGTCAGGCCTTAAACACAGTTCAGTGATTCTTTTTTGGTGTTGATGGAGTACTCACTTGAAATATTCTGGCAAGCTAAAGCATAATAGTTGCCTCATACAAAAGAAAAATTATTGTTTACGATTCACTTTAATGGGTATTACATCTGTCCAAACTCAACAGTGCTAATGTTTATCACTAGAGAAACACAATTAGCAAAAGTCATTAGCTGGAGTTATTTTTAAAAGAAGTCATTTCTTTATTTGAATTAAGGTAGACTTCATGTCTGCTGTTGAGTTACAATAATTAAATTTCACATTTATTTGAGGATGTTAAAATGTTTACTTTCTAGCATGGCATCAGACTCACTAAATCATTTCAAAGTCAAAGAACCAGATCTAAAAAAGCCTGACACATTAATGTCCTTTACAACATCTATGCTCAGACCTTAAATTATTAAATATATATTCTCCCCCATTTCAAGGTATTAATTTCATCTTTGCTTAAAAGCTGTTCCAAAGATTTATGGCATGTGATAAAGGGTTTGATAGACTTATAAATTTTTTTTATTATTGATGCCTTGAAGCCAGTTGAATTGCATATTTACATTTTAAGCATTAGAATTCTATAATCTAGATTTAATTAATGAGTCAATGAAAGTGCTTCACTGGCAGTACGATCTGTTTGAATCATTAGATTTTTCTGAATGCTCTGACAGGGAAGCTCTCCAATTAGGACTTTATACATCTGATTCATGAGATACTTTGCAGTAGATATCACTGTGTGTTCACATTAGCCATGGTAAAGGTTGCTTATTGTAAAACCGTATTACATGTTCTTCCCATTTTCTAATCTAACTTCCTCTGTTGCCCCTTGTATCTGAGTATAGACAGATTCAATAACTACCCAATGACACTGCTAAGTTCAATACCAGTGAACACGGCTTTTGCTACGGCAAGCCACACAAACAAGCGATTCCAATCAGGAGCTTTGAGTACATAATAGTTTTGTAAGTCATTACCTTTGCATAAGTTACACTTTTGCAAAATGATTGCATACTGTTTGCTCTCAGTCACCACTAAGGCTTTACCAAGTAGCTGTCATTGATGTTTTCTCTGCAAGATCTTAATGTAGTACATGCATTAAACACGCTTTCCTGTCTTTGGATGGAAATTTAGAGCTACCTAGAGAATAAGCATGAATCCAAGAAGGTTGCCATTTCAAATACATTTCCAGACTTGCCAGGCGAAATCTGCTAGAATGAGTTGATCAAGAGAGAATCCACGGAGGACTGTCACATGACTGACATCTGCCTTCTGAACCCACAAAGGCACTATAATAATTTCCACACCTCCTGCTGCAATGCTAAGCCTTGAAAGGTCCTTGAATTTAGACAAAAAACAATTCATTGTAACCAGCTGGTGCATCGATAAGAGAAATGTCAGCAAATTCCCTCAACCACTAAGGAAGCAGGGTCTGGGTTTGGGGCATGAGACCAAATAAGGAATGCACAAAGCCTCTCAGTATATACCCATACAATAAATGGGTATATCCTTGGACTTCCAAGAGTAATGATAATCTTTTGTGAACCACAATTTAAGAGTGAAATATAGAGATGAAATACCTCCTAATAAATTCCATCAAGTCAGGCAGTGATAAATACCTGCATAAGGCCATTTTCTTCCTTAACAACCTGAGTTTAGTTCTTATCATTCAGGTTTCCTTAACAGAGTGAGAGGTACCAATATAATATTTAGGCAGAATATGTTTTCAATATTTTTAAAACTATTTTATAAGTAATTTCATCAAAATATCAAGCACGGGTGTTGGATTTCCAATTCTGCAATTTTTTCCCATTGAAACTGTACTGCTCTGTTAGGACACTGACTCCAGCATGGGAAAGCAACCGTGTGTTGAAATATTGCAAAGCCTTGTTTCCTCCATCAGGTCCATTTCATTTCAAGTTTTTCTTCCTTGGAGTGATTCTAATGTGGATGGCTCTCTTTGCAACTTATAGCGGGCATGTTTAGCCTTTCGTTGTATTTGTGCCATTTTTCCCATGTAGGCTTTGAATTTTTTATATAGTTTGGTTATGCTTTGAATTGAATATTTGCCAGTCACATTACAAGGCTTCACAATCAAGCAAGAGACAGAGAATATGTGTCTGCCTAAAAAAAATCACAGTGTTTGGACAAAAAAGATTCCATGTCTACCAAAACTTAAAATGAATGAATCCTGTGACTCAGAGCTTACACCCCTCTGCACAGGAAAATGCACAAGCAGATTGTTGCCTTATTGATGTCAGACAGCAAAAATATCTGTTGTCTACAGTTATAAAACAAATAGGTATTTTTAAAGCTGCATTAGGATGCATCCCAGATTCTCAACAGTATTTTTTTCTCCATGGGAGATAAGAGAGCCAAGATTTGGGGTGTTGAATTTATTAAAAATGCTCATATTTTTAAAAAGAAGAATGCATTAAGATATAATTTGTGACATTAGAAGTTAACTTTAAAATAATGTCTTAAAATGATTTTTTATACCAGATGTTCCAAAATTCCCAAAAGAAAAAATTGATCCTCTTGACGTGGAGGAAGGAGATCCAATTGTCCTCCCATGCAACCCCCCCAAAGGCCTCCCACCTTTACACATTTATTGGATGAATATTGGTAAGTAATGTCAGGGGGGGGGCATTTTAGTTGCATGCATCATGTCAGATAACATACTAAAACCTAAGATTTTAAAAAATATTTTAAGGTTATTCATGGGGAATGAGATTTCTAAAATTCTATCTATCTATATTCTCCAAGTCCTAAAGATATACTTACAGGTGTATGTGAAAACACTAAAAACCACTAAATATACATCTTGATTTTATCTTAATGAAATACTGAGTAGAGGCTACTGATAGGATAAAGCGATAAAGCATGTCTATGAAGGCAATAGTTTCTATATTCCAAATAGTTTACTTATCTTTGGAAAATTATTCTTGTCAGAGCTGAGGATGGCTATGTCTGTGTTGCTAGCTTTATATTTCCATTTTAATTATGTTCCACCTGCTACATAGAGTGACCCACATAGAAACTAGTATTTAACTTTTGTGTTTAATTTGCCAGAAAAATGTTATTAATTCTTGGGCTGAAATTCCTGCTTCCCATAAAGTCCATTTCTGGCTTGCTCTCCAGCAGTGCTCCCTAAGTGTGTTCTTGCTGTGGCCCTGGAAGAAAGCGGTGATGTCTGTATGGTACTTGGAAATGCAGGAAGCCACTGTGGCTACAGCCAGATGTTTTACACTCCAATTACCCTACAACTTCCCAAACTGCACCCAGGAAAGAGATTAATTTCTCAGACATAGCTTTTGGGAGGTCTAGTTTTCAAAAATAGGACCCTAAGGCAATATACATAAGATTTGGGCCACTGTCTAAACTGGACCAGTTTTCAGATAAGCCTCTGCAGACCCATAAGGAGTAGAGGCCTAGATGGTAAGGACAGTGAAATGCACAAACTGGTTGTCCGCCAGTGAGCTCCTTTCGTGAATGGTGAAAAGCATACTCCCATGGGTCTGTTGGTTTAGTTTTTTACTTACTGGTCATTCATGAGCAAACATGAAAAGTAAAATAAAATGAATATAAAAGAAAGAAAGATAAAAAAGGGACCAAGGACACAATAAAAGACAGTTGCCCCTTTTAATGACAAGATATTCCTTTCCAGAATTGGAACACATTAAACAAGATGAAAGAGTATACATGAGCCAGAAGGGAGATCTGTACTTTGCCAACGTGGAAGAAAAAGACAGTCGGAATGATTACTGTTGCTTTGCCGCATTCCCAAGATTAAGAACTATCGTGCAGAAAATGCCAATGAAACTCACCGTTAACAGCTGTAAGTCCAAATAATTTATCATTCCATCCTGAATGCTGAATACAAATGTGTCTATAATTTCATTCTGGCTGAAGCCAGTTAAAGCTGCTGGGTTGATATTTCCCACCATTGTTTAGTTCAACTCTAGAGACTTCATCCAGATGAAAGAGACCTCTGCAGCTGCAGATCGACAGTAGCTCTGGCACTCGCAGCCAGGAAATCAAATCTCAATTCACAGGACAATTGTATTTCATTTGACGTCTGCAGAATCTAGTCATTTTCAGTGGTTTAAAATGTACAGCGGCTTTGCAGGGTTTTCTAAGTCTCAGGCTTTGATTCACTGTGATCTTGAATAAACCAGCAGGCTGAAAATGTGGGAGAAAATAAGAGTTAAAAATAAAAAGAACAAATACTACAATTTTTTTTATCACATCAAGCTTTTTTGTCCTTCCCAAATTGGCAAAGTTATCTGGCTTGCTTTTGATTCTGCACATGCTAGTCTGGGTTCCCAAATGGGAAAACATCATTAGTGGGAGAAGGAGTCCTAAAATTCAAAGGGCAGAGATTCCCATCAGTTCTCTGACTGAGTAATTGGCTCTGGTAGAGTTAAAAGTTGGCATTACCATTCCATTGTCTTAATTTGGCTTGTGTTTTTTTTGTTTCTGTTTTTCTCTCATTGTTACGTCTAGATACACTACTCCAGGGCTTCACTGCAGCATCCTTACGGCAGCCCCAGTTCTCGTTCATTGAGCTTTAATGTGTACCCTCCCCTCCTGGATTCATCTGGGGCAATTCAAGACTATGCTCACTATAGATTTTTTTTCAGCTGTACCCTTGAACATGGTGTTCTAGTGAAGCATAGTTATACCTCATTTTGTAATTTTTCTAAGAGAAAACTATGACTTTTCATTCTTTATTGATTATCAGCATCTACCATTATGTTTGTTTTTTCTTCATGTTTTTTATTTCAGTAAAGCATGCTAATGACTCAAGTTCATACACAGAAATCAGTTCCAAGGGTAAGTTGATCATGAGTAGAGTGCATTTGTTTTCATCTTTGGTAACTCATTGTCATCTCAGAATTGGAATTTTTCCTTTAATACCTTCATGAGTTTATTAAAATATTAATATTCTTATTAAGGAAAATCCTTTAGCATAAGGTTTTATTACCACCCTTCCCCATTTAAATATATTCAAAAGGAGTGATATTTATAAATACAGAACTATATGACTATATATATATATATACACACACATATATATATACACACATGTATATAGATGTATATATATATATGTAACAATTGTATATTTTTAATGGAATTATTTGGGGTCTCATAGTTGACAGACATTTTGGTTGATAGCTGTTAGATGAGGAAAGGAAAAAAGAAATGGTTGAGTGTAAACAAAGTAGAGAAAACATTAGGTTTAAGAAAGTTAAATGTGTATTTTTCTGGCAAGACTTCTCAGAGTACTTAATATGGGTCTGTATTGTAACTCTCCGAGAAAGAGTAAAGTGCAGCCTTTTCCAAACTCCTTTATCTACAAAGTGTATATATATTTTTTATGTAGACCATCTAGCAGAGAGGTAGTGTTTTGTGGAAGATGGCTGAGCAAACTGGAATTAAATAGTAAGCTAGTTTACCAAGATGAGAAGAATCATTTACATCAATGCAACAACATTCTTTTTATCATTGAGATCAGTGGCTTAGCATGGATATCTAATACCCTGGCACCATGATCAGGGCTGGATGGAGGTGCATCCCAGTTTGAAGGTGGATGGATTAAGCCTACATCCTCAGCATTACTGTCTTTGGGGTCAGTGACTCAAACATGTATATCATATTTTTACAGCCCTCAGCAAGCAGAACTGCACAGAGTGCATGCTCAACAATTACTGTGTGATACACACTCATAAGGAAACTATAGCAAGGTGTACACTGCTGACAATGCCTTTCATTCCTCTGCTCTGATAACAGAATGTCAGCTGTTTACGCTTTCCACATCATGTCAGATCATGCTGACGTTGGATGGGAAAGACAATTTGTATGAACATTTTGTAATAATATCAAAATTTTCATTGAAAATGGAAATCCTTATTTGCCATTGTATTTGCAAAGTAGTCTTAAAAGAAAGTAAGAAATGGAACATTTCAATATGCTTTTGGTGAGAATACTGGTTAATCATCCCAGACAGCAGTGTTTCTCTTTGAGGGCCTGAGGCTGTTAAGCTCAGTCACCTAAAGAGCCTGATAAATTCATAGATGCCTGCTGTCCACCACAGGCTTCCTGAATCAGGGCCCAGGAAACTGTATTGAACCAGGAATCTGATCAAATACCTATGTACATTAAATGAAAAGAAAAAAAAATACACAGTCATCAAACATGTCTAGGACTGATTAAAATGTAGAATATAAAATCATAGGCTATCAATTAACTTAAGGGCTTTCATCAAGAAACTAATTATCTTGAACCGTGTTTGAACTCCTGAATTTGAAGGTGTGATTTAAATCATAATCTTCACACAACTAGGTGCTACAATTAGTTACTGCATCTGAGGAACCACCCTTGCCTCATGATAAAAGCAGTCTATTTAAATGGAAATATATTAAAACATGTAAAATGTGTTTATGTATAGAAGTGCCCCCCCACACACACACAGGTATTTATGTTCTAATATGCTTTAAGAAAGATTTAGTGCCACAGGATTTCAACTCTTAGTCAGAAAAAAATTTAAGGCTTTTCTATTCTGTTTTATAGCAAATTCAATCAAGCAAAGAAAACCCAGAATGCTGTTGCCTCCTAGTGAGCGTGGCAGTGAGTCTTCCGTCACCGTCCTCAAAGGGGGTACCCTGCTGCTTGAATGTTTCGCCGAAGGCCTGTGAGTAACTTGACCGCTGTTCATGATTGTGTCCATCCAGTCCTGTAAGGAAGGAGGTATCAGTTAAGCAGTTAATCTGCATACACATTTTTAAATGGTTTCTTAAAATCCTGTTACTACATCTGAAAGAAGAGTTGCACTTCACTCTGCAAAATTCAGGCTGTGACTGAGATTGATTTATAATTAGATCACTCTGTCAATCCATGGTAGTGTGAACAAAGGTGACAATGACAACCTTCTCCTTAGCTCAATCAGTAGGGGGATGCCCTCATTAGAGCACAAGGCTGTTAGTGGTCAGCCCATTCCCAATACCCGCTTTTGTCCCCCTGCTATCATTTCTTGTCCCACTCCTACTTAGTATGCAGTGAGCTCTGCTCCCTTTACAAGCTCCAAGGAGCCCTGTTTATCTGTTATTTCACCCAGCTGCCCTTTGCACACAAGGAGGTCCAGACCATGTAATTTAAGAGTTTCACATAAAAATTTAATTAACTGAACTTTTTCACATCTGAAAAAGCAATGCCCATTTCCAAATCCTCCAAGACAAGCTTGCAGAAACTTCACTTGGTCACCTCTTAAAATTATTACACTTGTTGAGTAACTATCACATGTCTCTGTAAACAAGGACCATCTTATTTAATACTTGTTCAAGCCAGGTGATCTTTTTCCTTTTCCCTGTTGCCATGCCCCCTATGTTGACCAGCACATGCTGTCCCCATTGGCAATTCCATGGGAAGATGAATTCCACCTTCCCAGGACCTGGGTTTACATAATCAGTTTGTAAGCTCAGGGCTCCATACAGCTGCGCATCTGGGTAGTGGACTTGAATTTCAAATTTTAAAAACTGTATTCCTTCATAATACAATTATATATTCTGAATGAGTGGCTTTAAATTGGATTATAAAGAAAAGGGGCAGATGTTAACCCCAAAGCTTCTGTAACTGTCTCTTTCTATCCAGCAAAAACATATAAGTTGCTTCTCTGTATTAAATTGCCAAAGCATATTTGACATGAATGAGTTAGATGTGCTGTGCTGTGGCCTCTGTGTGGGAGGTTTGGTCTCTGTATTATGTGAGAAGATGAAAGCCTCAGGTTCAGTTTGAATCATGTGTAGCCACCTGCTCTGTTGTTCTCAGTCTTATGCGTTTACAGTGGCAGAAATTGAATTATTTCAGGATTCATCTCTATTCTCAGTTGACTCTCTGGGCAGGGCCAACCTTTCTCTAATTATTTTTTCTTGTTTCCCACAAATGCCATGATTCACCTCTTAAGTTGGCTGGCAACCACACATTGTGTACAAAGTAATAGAAATGCTCTCATGTGCTTTTTAGAAAATGCAATGTCATGAAGTAATATATGAAAAGAAAGTGGACATAAAAAGAAAGTGTTGTCCTTGGAATATGAACATTTCTGATGCATTGCCAGAAGGGTTTTTACCTGAACTGGTTTCTCACTTGAACTGGGTTTGTGTTGGTTAATCCTGTGTATTATCAGGCCCTCTTTCAGATGAAGGTGATACATCATAAAATTTTTATAGTACTAAATTTTTTTCCTAAGAAGTTTTTAAACCATAACTTTTTATGCAGTCATTATACGTAAGACATTGTACTTTTTATTATGTACCAGGCACTGTGTTTTACACTTACACTAAGTTCTTTTACCCTCTCCATATTTCATGACTATTATCATTCCCATTTGCACATTAGGTGAATGAAACCCAGGGACTTAAATGCACTTCTCCAAGCTTAGTGTAAAGTAGATCTGCAATTCCATCCTGTTGGTCTCCAGAATGCTACATGACCTCTCAATTTAACATATTTTAGCATATTTCAACCATATGAACTATTCTGCTCAGTTAATGGGGTGGACATGGGGATCAAGGTGGCATTGTCCCTGAATCTGAAGAAGTGGCATGTAGTAGATATTTTAGTAAATGGTAAGTAATAATGAAATTGTTGATACTGTTAATTAAGACAGGGAAACTGATGTCAAGATGTTTAGATTCTATAGACTCTGTGAGTAAAGCAGAAATGTTAAAATGACATTGTGAATCTCCTTCAGAAGAGAAGGGTGTTCACTCCCCAGGAAAGATGCAGACAGCAATGGGCACTGTCACGCACCAGCTCACGCTCATTCATGCCCTCTGAGCCTCATTAGGATTAAAGGGCATACATATGTGGCTTCCCTCTGCTGTCAGGATCCAAGTGTTTTCTATTTGTTAAATCTATGAATTTAAGCTAAGTATAATGCTACTGCAAGACCCTACATTGTACACAAAAGAAGTATAAGAGTAAAAGTTGGTTGGACAAGGACCTGAGCAAAATTTGAGATTACAAGATAGTGCATATTTGTGTATAAAAATAGATTAAGCAATATATTTTCCCCCAAAACTTCATTGCTAAAGTGCTGTTAATAAATGTTCCTCAAAGGAAAAAAATAAAAGAGGAAGAAAAACTTTACCAAGAATATAGCTGGACATTCTAGCAATGATGTGGATCTATTCCTCAATAAATTATATCTCATGTTCACCTGATACTTATAATCATTTTATTCTATTCTTTCCAGGAATAGGTATTAGAGAATTATACTTTTCAAGGATTGGCAAAAAAAAAAAAAAAAAATCTTGCAGAAAGTGAGATGCTTGCACTATTAAAGCATGGGATCATGAAAAATTCCTGATTTGGAGGGTCTGAGGTTCAGAGCAGCTTGTAATTTGGCAAATTGCCATTTTGACAGAAGGAGCAAAAAGCGAGTGTTCGGCGAGTGGGGTCATGCGTCCTGGTAGGTGGTGTGCCCAGGCAGGCAGCAGCTGATACACTCTCCAGCTGCCTGCATGGGCGCCAGCACTGCGTCCTGCAGAGGCGTGCCCAGTACTGTCAGCTCTATGACATAAAAGTTTGTGGTAGCAGATCTATAAGGTAAGTAGTTGAGCCTGGAGGGGAGAGGAAGAGAGTAAATGTGTGTAAATTAAAGACCTTCATCTTCCTTTTCTTCTCTTTTTTTGCATAATGACTGATAGATTCAACCAATGCCTATCAATACAAAATTATGAGGTAATAGTTCAGTTATTAACTCGTAAAAGTTAATTTGGCTGTATGCTCATATTCCAAGCATCTATAGTTAGGAAGGAAAAAGGGATGAATAAAGGACAAATATAGTAGAAGATAATCATAAAAAGAACAAATTTAGAGTCAGACACATGTAAGCTTTAACATGTCATTTATTGTTGCTGTAGGCAAATTAATAAACTTCTTGAAGCTTCAGAATCTTCATTGGTAAAAGGATGATCATAATGCCCATCTTTAGAGCATACTCAATAACATAGCTATTAATCATAAAAAGAAATATATAGTAGGAATAAAAAGCATTAATAAAAACAGCAAAATTAAGTTTCTCCCACCCAATCATACAATCCAGTGGAGAGGCAAAATAAAAAATCGACTGTTCAAGTCGGTCGTCAGTGCCTTCCTCATGATTTTTAAATCACAAGCATCATGGAGGGAACTGATCCTCCCCTTGTCTGGTTTTCACGAGGTAGAATTTTGCTTAAAGCCAGCTGCCTCCTGCTTTCCTCCCACCAAAGGTGGAAAAAGCTCTCCCCTGCTGTGACAGGTTTTCAAGTTGGATTTTGTTTTGTTTTCACTTTTTTGTTCAATTGGTTGGTGCCATGTTTCTAAGCAAGGGAAATATGGCTCATTCCTCCTTTTTTCTATTCCCCAAGAGAATGAGAAAGCCACCTGGGGAGCTGTATCTGCTCGGCAGAGCCCGCTGGGCCCTCAAATGGGCTGTTCTGGGTGCAGCCGACACAGCTGGCTGTCCCATCTGAGCCCCCTTCTCCGGTGTCAGCTTCGTTAGGATTGAAGGGGATTTTGCGGCTTCTCTCTGCTTACTGTTGGGTCCTACTTCATGGTGTTTTCATATTCATACAGGGAAGAGGGCTGTTACAGCTGATCACTTCAGATCACCCCCAGGGAGATTTCACCCTTGAAAAAATATCTTGTAATGTTTTTTTTCCCCTATGGGTCCAACTATCCATCTTTTATCTGACCGCACCTACTCAGCACATACATGTAGTTCGTCCCCATAAAAGAAGAAACCAGATTCTGAGGAGGCGGACTATTCAAGGAGCTTGCAGTGAAGGACCCCTGATCCAGCCCTCACGTCTGCAATGGTGGTGCTGCGCAGGCCTGCGCCCCGGAAGCTGGGGCTGCTCAGTGGAACTCCCAAGTACAGATGTAAAAGCAATGTGATGTGGCCTATGTCCTGTGGGTTTCTATATTTTATTTTGCACTTGAAAAAATGTTAATCATTTATTTGTTGTTTTCCAGGCCAACTCCACAGGTGGAATGGAACAAAATGGGTGGTGATTTACCAAAGGGAACAGAAACAAAAGAGAATTCTGTCAAGACTTTGAAGATAGAGAATGTCTCCTACCAGGACAAAGGAAATTATCGCTGCACAGCCAGCAATTTCTTGGGAGCAGCCACTCACGATTTTCATGTTACGGTAGAAGGTACATTCATTCTCCATGTTGATTTATTTTTCTTATATTAAAAAAAAAGTGAGTTCGCACATGTAGCAGTCTATACCTCTAGAGCATATATGTTAAAGCAGATAAGATGTTTCAGCTTGTAAGTGAGCACTAGATTATATGACACTTCAGTTAATTTTTCAGCTTGTAGGTGTACAGTGAGCACTGGATTTTATGACACTTACTTAATCAGGTTTGTCATTTATCCCCCAAAACCATGGAGAGTGGACAAAGGACAAGAAAACAGCTCTTGTGGGGATTAAACCCAGATGACTTGCATGATTTGCTCAAATAGCCACTAAACCTAGTGTCCCATATCATCATCATGTTAGAAATAATTTTTATTATAATATATATAACATTGCCTAATATTAAATTATTAAAGAAGTAAGCATTAAGAAAGAGATTTTGGACTTTGTTTCTCAGTCCTGTGACTACCTTGCTGTGCCCTCCCATCAGCTGACTTCACTTTTCTGAACTTCTATACCAGTGAAATGAGGGAGTCAGACAAATCGTTATCTTAAGCTCTTTCCTAGATACATTTTTTAAATACATATTTTGGCTTCAGGTAATATACAGTATGCTACTTATGGGGAAAGAAGAATAGACTGGTATGGTATAAATATTAATTTTCTATCAAAAGATGCAGAAAACACATTATATTCAAGTCATCTCTGCGTAAACCCCAGTCTTTCGATCAATAGAGTTTAGAGGTTTGGCTATTGTTTGTTGTGTTTATAGAAAGAAGTAGGCAATGATATCACCTTTTTAAGAAGGTGGGGGAGTCACAAAATGTAGATATTAGGGAGTGGGCCTGCTTGGTTGAAGTAAAGGTATATAGCCATCCTGTGGATTTGATTGATGCAGACTATTTTCTGTGGGTCTGACCACCTTGAGATCTCCTATCTACCGTTTGCTTGACTGTATTGATCAAATTAATGGATGATTGCTGCATTTATACTTATTTAGTGCTGTTGGAAGGGATTGTCTCTTTCAGGGTTCTGTTTAGTGAACTAGCACTCTAAGGCTTCCATGTATATTCCAGAAAATTCACCTGTAGAAGCTTCAGTTTGCACAGGGAACACCTAAGTAAAGGCCCACCGTTTGAATTAATGGGGGAGAAAATGAAGACTCAGACAAATTACACTCACACGTAAATGTTAAGATAGTTCATGCAGCTCTTTGGAATAGCACTGTGTTTTCAAGGGCCCCTACAATGTGTATGATTAGTTAAGTTCCAAAAAAACAAACACCAAAGATAAGAATATCACTGCCTTTGATTCAACAAAAGGGAAAGCCACACAGGAGAAAGGCCAGCGGAATGCATAAATATCTGTGTCCACCAGCAGTGATATAGTCCTCTGATATTAAATTATTTGCAAAGAAATTCAGAGAGAAAGAGTTTGAGGGTTTGATTTTATCTATATTTTTACCCATCATTTGATGCCTGTATATAGTTTATCTATACCATGCAACAGGGATGTTTTTCTGTAATCCCCTGCCCAACCCCAGCACAAACATACCCATGAACCAGGCATGTCTAATTGCTAGCTGCTCCTACTCCAAGTTGCTGACTATTAGAAATCCTTCCAGATGGCTGGAACATTGCTACGGTAGCTGAATATTTTAACAATCTGGCCACAGTTTTCTTGACTATAAGACTGAAGCTTTCAAAAGAATTGCAAAGGTTGCAAAAAAAACAAAAAAACACCAAGGAAGTAAACTTAATTATGCGATTTAAAATGTTGACTATAGGACTCCAAAGGAATATAAGTTTCCTGAACAAATTGTTCTTACTATTCACAAAACAGCTATCAGCACTATTGAGATGTAAATTATGTTTTTATTAGGAACATTTAATCCTTTCCCCTTATTGAGGAAACTACTAAATGTGTGTTCCATTATATGTTTTTTAGCATTTCTCTTCACACGTGCAAGTTTAAAAGCCAACTGAACTCAGGAAATCTTTTTCTTTTTTTTTTAAGCATGAAAGGAGTAAATAAAACCTTTATTAATCATATGAATGGATGAGTTCACTTTCATTCATTTTTCTTCTGCCTTCTTGTACCTTCTTCCCCTTTTTTACCCCTTACTCAGAAACTCAGATTAAAAAACAAGGATCATATGAGAAAAGAGCAGTGCTACTGTGAATTCTGAAAATCTAGTCCATTCTGAAAACAACTGTGCTTAAGTAAAAGTATATATTGTATTTTGTCTAAATGTGATATTTATTAGTTATCATTAAACATCAAATTCTGAATTTAAGCTGCATCCTAAATTTTAAAAAAAACTGCATTTTCAAATGCTGTAATGTGTATAAGCAAAAGCAATCCGGATGTTTTCATCAGAACAGCTATCTTTCTATGTTTCCATGATACAAAAACTACACATTCAGTAAAAAGAGGTATATTAAAATGGCATCTAAAACATTGTAAATCCAGAAATAAATATGACCACAATCACGTGTCAACAGATTATTTAAAAATATATTCCCACCAGCAATGTTCATGTTGTAAACTTTTGAATTATTAAGGCTTTTGAATTCTAGTAAGTGCACTATGTGATTATATACCCATAATAGTTTTGCATTTTAAATGGCTGTCATGAACTCCAGTGCAGGTCAGTCACTGATACACTAAAGACTCACTTTCAAATAACAAATCTATTTCTAAAAAGTTGTAATTAAATCCAAGTTTGATGAACCTAACAATTTTTTATTTTTTAGAATACAGATATGTAATAGGAATCTGCCACTAAGAAAATAACCTCAATAATAGATAAAAGAATGGGTTTCAATTATGCTATTTTTATCTCAGAATTTTCCATTTTAACCATTCTCTGCTCTCTCTTGAGCCTGTTTTTCATCCTTTCAATGAGATCTTACTCTTCAGGAATAGAGTTCCATAATCTAAGCTTTGGGAAACATCCTGTTTGTGCTCTGTCTCTGCACGCCCCTGACCAAACTAAAGCCACTGAAAATTCCCTGTCTCATAGCCAAGGCCTCAGGCTATGTGTTCTTTGCTGAACAAAGAAGCAACTAGCTAAATGTATTCAATAAAGATGAGAACTTAGCAGACCTTGAGTGACACCCAGTCAGCGAGTGCCTGCTGCCCCAGACCCCTTCTTTCCTCACTGTTCTTGTTTCCCTGGAGTCTTCGCAGAGCGATCATTTCAGTTCCACTCGAAATTATTCCACATGTGTCTGCTCTTGTGCCAAGTGGAAACGACACAAGGAAGTGTTAAGATTCTGCCCTGGATCTTTAGATGCCACTGGTCGGGCTTTCACTGTGGTCCCCAGTAGTGAGAGTCTCAGTCCAGGCTGGAGGTAAGGTGTATCAAGGCCAGCCCGGGACGGTGTTTCTTGAGCAAGACAGGCTGGAAGTCTCTCTCAAACTGCACAGCAAAGTCTACCTTTGGTAGGACCAGCATCCTTCCCCGGGAGAAACATGGGTGAGAAGTATAAAAATAAATGTCCAAACATTTATAAGGAAAGATTATGAAAAAGGGTTAAGATAAAGCTTAGTGATGATTCCTAGTGAATATGCAAAACCTCTTTAGTTAGAGGTTGGGAGAGCCTAGGTTTGGAAGCACAAACTCAAAGTTGGTAAAGTGATTGAGCTTAGGTTCCTGGATCCATGGAGCGGCAAAAACAAGAGCTTGTGCTTCTTTTCCTGGTCACTTTGGGCAAGTTTGATGAATTCCCTGTGGGTGCAAAGTGAAAGGGTCAGATAAGGTGATAACTGAAGCCCCTTTTCAGCTCTGACAGTAACAGATCTTCGTGCAGACACTAAGGCATTAATTAAATTTATAGGGTGAGAATAGAAACAGAACTCCTATTTTATTATGCATGGAGATTAAGACAAATGTCATCATTACATGATCTTCTTTATTTTTTTTTATATTGAGGTGTAACTGACAGAAACTTAAAAGTGCACAATATTTAATATTTGTATATATTGCAAAATGATCTCCACAATAAGTTGTTAAGATCCATCATCACATAGTTACAAATGTTTTTTTCTTGTGATGAGAACCTTTAACATTGATTCACTTAGCAACTTTCAAATTATATGGTACAGTATCAACTATATAGTTACCATGCTGCACATTACAGCCCTATAATCTGCTGTATTTATACAAGCATTGGAATCAATGGTCTTAGTTTTCTATTGTAAAAATGCAACTTTTAAAGTTCACAGAATTTTTTTCTCTAACTCATTTTTTAAAAATTCAAGTACCATTAATACACAATCTTATGAAGGCTTTCACATTAACATCATTGTAGTTACAACATTCACCCATATTATCAAGTCCCCCCAGCCCAGCATTGCAGTCACTGTCTATCAGCACAGTAAGATGCTATAGACTCACTACTTGTCTTCTCTGTGCTGTACTGCCTTCCCGTGACCCACCTATATTGTGATTGCCAATTATAATGCCCCTTAATCCCCTTCTCCGTCCCCCTGACACATTCTCCCTAATCCCTCCCTTTTGGTAACTGCTAGTCCCTTCTTGGAGTCCGTGAGTCTGCTGCTGTTTTGTTCCTTCAGTTTTGCTTTGTGTTATACTCCACAAATGAGTGAAATCATTTGGTACTTATCTTTCTCCACCTGGCTTATTTCACTGAGCATAATACCCTTCATCTCCATCTCCATCCATACTGTTGCAAATGGTAGGATTTGTTTTCTTCTTATGGCTGAATAATATTCCATTGTGTATATGCACCACATCTTCTTTATCCATTTGTCTACTGATGGACACTTAGGTTGTATCCACATCTTGGCTATTGTAAATAGTGCTGTGATAAACATAGGGGTGCATATTTCTTTTCTTTTTTTTTTTTGGGAGAGCAAGGTACAGGCTTTTATTTAGAGATACAGTGAAAGGACAGAGCTCCCGGCTCATGCCAGGAGGAGACAAGAGAGTCCCAGTATATTTCTTTTTGAATAAGGGATCTTGTTTTCTTTGGGTAAATTCCAAGG